CGAGGTAAGGACAGTTTCTTGTAGCCCACCCTGAACACAGCTCTGAATTGAGCATGGCTCTCCCATCCAGCTCATCTGCGTTGGCGGTGCATTTTCATGGTCTATCTTCCAAAACTACCTCACGCGATCGGAATCCGGACCCTTGAGGAATGAATCGGGCGTCACAGTATCGGCTATTGGAACGTTGCTGCTGAGCATGTTGTATTTCGCGCCTCCGGTCATTGGACCTCTTTGAAAAGGTATCCGGATTTAGGTGCGTAAATTCTATGTTCTAACGAGATCTCATGTATTTATCTACTTCTGTAGCGGGTAAAATTAGCATAATGGCTCTCCTTTTCGCGGTGGCCAGTTTGCTAATTGCCAGTTTTGTGCAAACGGCCCCAGTACTCCTCGTTTTTGTTGGCCTGTTTCATGGGATTGGAGTTGGGGTTGCCACCAGCGAGTCAAGTTCTGGTTCTTCGATAAGCGCGACTGACCCGAAAATTATAGCTCCTTATATTACATATGTTCCCCAATGGTTCACCAAAAGACGCAGCTTGGCAAACGGGATCGCTTTCAGCGGTGCCGGAACTGGTGGTCTCATCTACCCATTCATCTTCCCCACCACTCTCGACAAGCTCGGTTTCGCCTGGACTCTCAGAATTTGGTCAGCTATCCTTCTTGTCGGCGGCGCCACGGCACTTTATTTTATCAAGCCTCGATTGCCAGCAATCAGGCCTCGAGCGACAACGAGGGAACACAGCCGTGCCGCAGCTCTGAAGCTAGAGTTTGCGTACTTGTTTTCACCATTTTGGGCCATGAATGTAAGCAAGCATGTTGCGAACCTCGGTTCATGCTTGGTTGACACCTCAACAAAATGGGCAGGCGCTTTTGACTTTCATGGCCAGCGCAGGGCTTTTTGCAGTCTCCTTCTATTTGGCAACCTATTGTAGCAGTCTGGGTCTCAGTTCGGCTGGTGCGTAATGACTTTCGGCCAGGAGCCATGTGAATCTGATAGATGAAAATTAAACAGCCACTAGCGGCGCTGTTGCAGCCTTCAATGCCTCAGGTCTCCTTGGAGAGATTTCGATGTACGCTTTACACACGAGCTCCCCAATTTTTCACTAATGTTTGGATGCGGACCGATTATACAGCGGGTATGCATGCGACCGTTTCGCATACCCTCTCGTAATTTTATTCATCGGAGCGATTGGAGGACTCTCTACATTCCTTCTACTGGGGTTCGCAAGAAGCCTCACAACGGTTGTCATCTTCACACTGCTTTTTGGGTGGGCCGCAGGCTCCTGGCCCGCAACGTGGTCCGCCTCTTGCCTCGACATCGCCCGTCTGCGTAAGATCCCCATCGCCAGCGTTACGCTGAGCATGATTTTTGTCCGCGGGGTCGCTGCGCTCATCGGTCCGCTCGTTGCCGCCGCTCTCTATCAATCCGACATGAGGACGAACGCGAAGCTCTTTGGGTCGTTTGGCTTTGGTCCGCTGATCAATTTCGTGGGCTCGTGCATGCTGGGAGTCGCCGTCCTCGGAAGCGTAGTTGGGCTTACGAGGAACAAGATCATGTATGGCTTCAATACTACGGTCCGCTCAGAAGCGCTTTAAGTGCAGGAGCATGGTGAATTCTGACAGCGACATAACCTGCGGATCTTCGCATCCACCCATATCCTTTACCATGTCATGACTAGATTATTGACTAAGTACGCGAGAAACTGTGTTCGCGGTCACTGATATTGACAACTTCTCACCAATAACTGGCGAAACACCATTAATAGGTACAATCCCAAACCTACACCCTATTTCAAAATATACGTGTTACCCCTGGAGTTGGCCAAACACTTGGTGCGAGGAATATAGTAACTCCAAACTGTTGAATATCACTTCAAGTTCATGTGTTCACACCAACCTTTCGGTACGTACCTCCTCGGTGAAAATATGTTAACGAGTCGCGTAGCTATTCAGGGAGCATACTATATGTGTGTCAGGGTATACAAAGCAGCACGGTCTAGAAGTTCTGAGCCAATGAAAACTTTAAATGCTACCCCATCCTTTGGCTGACTTCATGATGTCTGGGATTTGAGATATCTGTTATGACATATATGACAGTACAGAGATGAAACTTGAAAGGGCGGGCGGGGTGCAGTCTACGCCGCTGCAAACTATTTACAAAATTCACATTAGGGCCTCAAACAAAACGGGGCGGATTTCGTCTCCGCTCTTCTTCAAGCCGACGTTCTTCCTCACGCCATGCACGGTCCTCTGCCATTTTCTGCAGGGATAAAAAAGAAAATAAAACATAAAAATACAGTGAGAGATTGATACCGCTTTCAACCCTTCGATAGCCTGCAGAATGGTGTTCAACGTCGCTTCGGAGACTTTGTCAACCTGTATTGGAAGCGATGAGCAACAGAGTGAGGATGAATTTGGTTCCAGACTCACGGTTTCTCCAGTGCCCCCCACTGAACTGTTTGACGCGCTCACGCTCCTGCTCCTAGTCGCCGCGGCGGTCGGGCTGAACCCGATTCCTCAGCTCTTCACACAGTTCCCTAACAAGCTGCGAGCCAACACCCAAGCCCAGAAAGAAGTAGATGAAGCGAAAGCGGGACATGTCTGAGTAGATGGTGGTCGCGAGTGGTGAGATGTCGTGCAGCTGTGGGTGTTATTAGGTCGGCCGAATGACGAGTTCGCTCGGCTGTCTCACAAGTCACGTCAATCACCGGCAGCAGCCTAATTGGGCGACGTGTTCCGCCGCGGCCCGTGGGTCACACATGACCGCAGCTGTGACACACCTCCAACACCAGGGTCCAGAGTCCCAGTGGCACTAGGGCTGTCCACCGTCCCGTAAACGGGGACGGCCGTCATTTTCAAACACCGAGACGGGTGCGGCCCGTCACAAAAGCGGCCGTACTTTCAGATCTCACACTGGTTGAACATTTCAAGTTTTTCAGTGAAAAAATTGATTGGTGAAAAGTAGTTTGAGTTTTACACAAATTTTTCACTGAAAAAGTAGGTGAAAAACTTGAGAGTTTTTCAAAGATTTTCACTTTTAAGGTGAAAAATTTAAAACAAAGTTAGAAAGTGGTGAAAAAGTTTTAAAAATTTTTCACTCACCTTTTCAGTGAAAAATTTGTGTAAAACTCAAACTACTTTTCACCAATTTCTCAGTGAAAAATAAGTATGGCTGTAATACTGTGTCATAATTATTTGGCACACAGGTACAATTTATTTCACTCACCTTGGGACTTATCTGCAGTAAATCACTCCACCTGTACTCAACCTGGAATTATATACCCCACTCCGCTGACTCCACCAAAAAAACACACACCCCTACTTCTTTAGAAAACACCCCACCCCGATGATGAAAATAAAACACATACCCTTGATCTTTCTTAAAACACACCACTGTTGTTTTCGAAAAAAAAAACACTCACCCAGTAAAATCAAAGTGACACTGCTTTAATGTACTTCAAAAAAAAAAGTGCACAGGTAGGTCCCTCCATACAAACAAACAGAGAGCGCTAGCAGGCTGATAAGAGAACTAGTAGGTTTGATGGATATGATCAACGAACGTGGATGCAGCGGGGGGTTACATTCGAGTAAAACCTGTAAGGAAAATCAAGGGGACGAAACACTGACATGACGGTTACACAAAGTGCGACCATAAGGTCTGATTCAAGAGTTGTGGTTGGATCTTGGATCTGAGTCAGGCCATCTTCACCGGAACTCACTAGTCAGTTATATATATATATATATGTGTGTGTGTTACCAATGTTCATTTCGATTTTAGAACTCTCTCTTCCAGCATATACTTATTCCACCGGGGTCCCTCAAATTGTTGTCCGGAGGGATTCCTGGAGAGCCACCGAGCTCAACTCAGGCTGATCCTTCGTCTCCCAGTCTGACTGTCCACTCCGATTACGATATAGTGCTGAAAGGTATTTTTCATTCCTCATTTTACCGCTATCAGGGTCTGAAATGTCTTTACTATTGACCTGTAAGATTGTATGGTTGGTTTTAGCTTTGAGTGCATCCCTTCAGGTGCTTTACAAGGTAACTTGCGGATTCACTTGACCGCGACCAAGGAACTTGTGAACTTGGCTGTAGCTGATGCCCTCTGATGGCAAGTTAGTTGGCTTGATCTAACTTCAAGTTACTTGGAGTAGCTTCATGTCACTTGAAGTAAAGTAGCATAAAGTTGAATAAAGCCAAGTAGAGCTCAGTAAGTGTATGTAAAGCCAAGTAACAGCAATTTTAGTGTACTATTCTGCCACCCTGGCTGCCTGCCAGAGACACTGATATGAGGAACCTTGCGTGAATTCAAGTCCACAGAGCTCACAAATGTGCATATCCTCCTGCAGCACAGTTGCAAAACCGGCTGAATAGCCTCCGAGAGTCCTCATTTTAGTTAGAGACCGAATGATGGACTGCCAATTGGGATTCAGGAATGAGATATTGGAAATGTGTCACAAGAGATTACAGAAACAACAGACAGAGAAATACCTGAGTGCCTGCACTTGATTTTTGGGGACAAGGTCTGATCCTGTAAGCACTTGAATAGTTCACGATGCACAAATCGGAAATCCCGAGCTGAGATATTCCCAACAGGATGTATGTGATTTATTCAGAGACAATGTTGAGTGAAAGGGTACTGTAAGAGCTTTGAACACCTTTTACAACAACAGAGACCTGTGAATTGCTAAAGAACAAAGGGGACATTTTGGCTGGGAGCAGAGTTTAAATCAAGTGAATTTCGCCATGCATGGGAAAACTTAAGTTAACTTTCGGCACGGCATGCCGAAGGGGCGATCAAAGTTAAAGTTAGTTTTAGGTTTACATAAGTTACTTTCTACGTACTCGTCGCGTCCCGGGCCAGCCCGTGTACCGCCCTACACCGTTTCATTATTTTAATGGACGCTGGATCCGGATAAGAGGCCCTTGCATTCGATTCTGTTGTGTGAGTAACCCAATTTACTTGCTCAGCTATCTGAGAACTGAATCATACAAGCAGCTCGGGTGTGGTGCACGGCGCACCGCAGTTTGTTGTGGAAAGAGGAGCAACGAAATCAAGCTGCAGACCGGGGTTCGACTTCCCGCACCCAAATATATGGGCAGAGACTCCATTTTTGCTCCTCCTCCCTTCCTACATCAGATTTCGTCAATGGTTTCTTATGCATACGTGATTGTATCGGGAGTAAAAGGTCACCTTGTCCACAGATTTGTTTTTTTTTCGCAATGAATGGTTGCAGTCGCGATGTGCTTTTTGATAAAGAGGAATGTTCAGGCAAGGCCTCACTTATTCAAGGACCAGCTGCAGTGCATACATTTACCAGGGTGTGGTGCACAACGCACGGCAGTTTCTTGTTTGAGAAACAAGATTGATGTAAGCCGCAGGCCGGGGTTCAACTCCCCACACCCCAATAACCTCTGTCGTCCTCAGTTTTTTTGTCCCCGCACTGCCTTTCGAATCAAACAATGTATTGTTTTGTGTTGAGCACATACAGCTGATAAGCTGACTGACTGTATGCATATGCAGAGTTCATAATTTGTTGGACACTAGAACGATCAGGACCCGGGATATCAATGTTGTGCATTGTGAATATGATTCCGTTGCCGTGCATTAAATCGATCTCCTTGTTCAGCTATCCGGGAACCAAACTACCTCGGGTGTGGTGCACGGCGCACGTCGGCCTTTCTTGATGCCGAAATAGAAGACTTAAGCTGCAGATCGGGGTTCGACTCCCCGCACCTGAATATATTGGCAGACACTCCATTTTTGCCCCTCCTCCATTCCTACTTCATTTCGTCAATGGTTTCTTATGCATCTGTAAACATTGGGAGTAAAAGGTGAGGTTGTTCAGTCAGGTTTTTTCTTTTTTTTTTTTTGCCATGATTCTGCAGGTCATCATTCATCGTGTCTGGCGCGCGGAGAGTTGGCAGACCCGGTTGACTCGACGTACGTACTTCTTTGCTCCCTGTACGTAGTTAGGTTGTAGTTTCTGAAGGGAAGACAGAGCACCGAAGTATACATTTACCTCGGGTGTGGTGCGCGGTGCACAGCAGCATTCCTTTCTGAAAGCGTGGACAACTTGAGGCTGCATACCCCAGGGTTCGACTCCCCACACCCGAATGCTTGAGTTCCATGCAATCTTTTTTTAGAATCCACTCACTCCATTTTACAGCGAATGATGTATTACGTTGTGTTGAGCACATATTGTATGGATGATAAGATGACCGGTAGGCCGACTGTATACGCAGAGCATTGCGGAACACTGGATATGATTTGCTTCGGGCCTGGGATGTACATTCTGCTTTTGATCCTGTTTTTTCATGGCCAATTTTCTTGCTCACCTATCGAAGTAGATATGTGTTGCGTTGAATGAACACAGACAGCTGAGACATCTGCACGGACTGTATAGTGCATGGATTTGGTTGTACTATTTCAACACGGCCGCAACTCATGATTATACTGGACCATGGATCACTGGATGGGCATCGTTTACAACTGATTTCCTTACTCACCCATCCCAGAACCGAGCTATACCCCCAGCTTGGGTGTGGTGCACGGTGCACAGTGGCATTCCTTTCTGAAAGTGTGGTTAACTTGTAGCTGCAGACCGGGGTTCGACTCCCCACACCTGAATTCACGGCGGCGATCAAAATCTGTTTCCGTGGGAAATCTGGCGAAGAACTATAAAAATACAATTTCCCACCCATTTGTTTTCCAAAGAAGAAATCGAGAAACATTCAGAATGTTTCCTGCCAAATTTCCGGTGGAAACAGATTTGATCTTCCCACGGGAAAAATCTGAGAAAACTGCTGATTGGGAGGCTCCTTGATCGGTAACCACCATGTGGCCAGGATTTCCCACGCTCTCGAGCTGGGCAAGGAAGGTCGGCGCGGTACCCTACACCGGAGAATCCTCTCAATCACAGACCATACAGTCGATAGCCTCCCATCGCATCAGTTGTACACGAGAGTCGGCCCTTTTCCACCCCGGGAAGCCACTCAGACTGGAAACGAAGTCTCGGCTTCTCCATTAAGCTTGACGATCTTACCTCCAAAAGATCCCGAGGACACTCCGCCGCCAAGGTTCCTCATAACTAAAGGCCGACGTTATACAGTGCCCGCCATCTCTGCTCGTAGCCACCCCCCCTACAGAGCCACTGTGTCGTCAGGACCCTCGGGCAATCTCAGACCACCGCAAAAAGTAAAAAGAACGACCAAGGATTGCAAAGGAAGGAATGGAACAAAGGCGACAGCGTGGGCTAAAATAGTCCAGGACAACGGCTACGCAACCCACGCGGCGCCTGAACACACTGCACCGTGAGTGTCGGAGAACCCTTTTCGGCAATCCTACCGCGTGTACATGACGTAGGTGGTTTTCGACCTTCGATGTCAGGAATCCACCTACAAAATGAGGCGGAGGGATGAAAGAACACGTTCCCGAATGAAAGAGCTTGCCATCTGATCAGATCAGTTGAGACCGAAATAGAGCGCGCTCTGTCATGAACGCCCACATCCTCCATCTCTTTGTTCTCGGGGCACATAAGTGCCTCGGGAAAATGTACAAACCTTACCTCCCACAAACCAGAAATACAGAATGACCACTGCTGCCCCCCGTACTCGTTCCAACTCCAAGACGTCCACCACAACGCCTGCCCCCGTGGCATCTGGACCAACCCTTGCAACCCCCGCGGATGTCGCCTCCACCGGTTACCCAGACAAGCCAGGAGGAAAGGGCAAGACCCCTCTCAACGCCTTCCATTTTAGCAAGAAACCCGTGGCGAACACATACAGTATGTTACCCCACCAGTGGATAAACCACAAATAACACTCTTCAGCTGGCTCCTCGACCGCGAAGGAGAAACCTCGCACCAGCACTTCCACGACCTCCACCCGATCGTCGAACTCCTTCGGGGTCCTCAGCGCTCTTGAGGAAGACCCAACCCTCAACAACGACGAAGACGAGCTCACAATCGATGAGCAGGTTGCCCGGGAGCTGATCGGAGCAGACCAACTCGATGCTGCCTTTGAGGCCGAGAGGGCAAGCCAGGTGCGTACCTTACCCTCCGTGAAGAGCTAGTCTGACAAAACGTAGGATATCACCATCGCTTCGGACACCCCCAGCCCTGCCCTGAGCTCTGCGAGCTCGTCAGCCTCCGCCACCGGCAAAGTAGTGAAAGATAAAGGCAAAGGCAAAGCGACTACTGTGCGTATAAAAAAACCCTGCCCTCCCAATCGTAATTGACCCCGACAACTACAGTCGACCCATACCGATGTTATGAAGGAGCTTGCCAGGAAGCTAGCAGGGCGCCCTTTCCATCACGTCCCAGTCCCGGTTGTCACGCCTTCGTCCTCCTCGGTCCCGTGGTCCGCTGCAGTAGTCGCCGCCATGGGGAAGGAAGCTGCAGAACCCACAACAACTGCCACACCCGCCACGGCCGCTCCGCAGGCCGAGTCCACCTCGCCATTCCTATCCCCTGTGCCTCCCCAACTGGAGTCCCGCGACGACACACTACCGAGTGCTCGCGTCCCATCAGCCACTACCCTGGCATCCACCCCGATCCCTACCGCATCCATTTCTACACCATCGGTCGGCCAATCCCGTCCCGCTGTTTTCAGCCGACCCACTGCAGGACCCTCAAGCTTTGCAGCTGCGGCTGCAACCCCCTCTGCCCTGTCTGCGCCAGTTACCCGACAATTATCCCTGTCGCCCCCGTCGTTGCCCCCGCTGCTCCCGCTGCCCCCATCATCGCACCCACCTCCACTCCTGCTGCCCCTGTCATCGCTCCCATCACTGCCCCCGCCGCTCCAGCCATTGTCCCACCCGCTGGTGCCGTCGCAGGGGGTCTGATAGCACCTGCCGCAGTACTCGCCGGTGCGGCTCCAGCCGCTGCCCAAGGAGGCCTTGCACCCGCGGCCCCACCGCCCCTCATGCCAGTTCCGGCAGGAGGTTTTCCCCAGGTACACGGGTGGAACGCGAAGAACATGTTTACCAACGTCTCAGACCGTACCAATATTGCCTGGACTGGTCTCATGGGCGACAAAATCCTCGTGTATGAATTCGACGGCTCTCATCCTCTCGTGGTCCCTCCGCCTGCAAACTTTTTCGAACGAGCGAAGAACACCATCGCCCGCCACTTTGCCTGCCCCGCGCCCCTCATGTGCCCAGCTGAGCCTGCCGTCGACCCGACACACCTCCACGAGCCGCCCTACATCCACGTCCTGAATAACCTAGCCCAGAACAACCTTCAGGCCCTCATCGACCGCCAATTCTGGTCGTTCCCCGATGTATCTTTCTTTGCCATGCGCTTTCCCCCGCCCACAACTACATTCGTCTGCACCCTCGATGGTCTCCTTTTCGAAAACACGCAGGAAGACGCTGTCGCCGTTGCAACCACTGTCGCCATCACCATCCGCGATGATCCAAAGACGCAGTCCTTCCTGACCCGTGTACACGACAACTACCCGCGGCGGGTATCGACCCCATGACACACTTTATCTCCACCCTCCGGGTCACCGCGCAAGAACTTACCAACCCTGGCGGAAGCACCCGTGTGGCCTGGGACGTCACCGCCGAGCCACCCACCACCGACATCGACCAGCATAATGAGTGGCTGGCAACCATCAACGACATGGTCTTCCACACGCCAATGCACTACGTTGGCAAACCTATCGTCCCTCCCCTCAACTGCACTCGCTGCATGTCCCTCGGCCACCCCTCTGGCCGTTGCTTGTTCCCCAACCTCCCTGGCTTCAATGGCCGACAGGTTGCAAGCACTGCAATGGCACCCAACGTCACCCCCGCCCCCGCTATGCCTGCCCCCGTCAACAATAGTCCCGGTGCAGGCAGAGGAAGAGGCGGGCATGTACCCCGCGGCCGCGGAAGCCGTGGGGGAGGCCGTGGTGGAAATCGTGGATGTGCCCATGGACGAGGCTTCTGAGCTTCGACCAGAATACATACATACAGCTTAGACTTTGATACATGATTTGCATATTTGTACAAGCGGCTCTCATGAAATAGAAAATGATCTCTAGACCAAAACATGGTATCAACCTTGAGGAAGAAAGCGAGATTGTGACGACCCCATCAAATATAAA